CTTGGGGGCTGGGAGGGGGAAGACCAGGATTCCACTGAGTCACGATGTGTAAATATCTAAATATGTAAAAAAAAAAACGCAATTCAGCCTTTGGCTGCGATGTACTTTTTTTTATTTCTATATTCCAACATTTCATGACTAGACGTGGTGACGGCACACTCAAGTTATATCAACTTATTTTATGCCGCCACCAACGCAGAGGACAGGACAAGACAATATTCATTTTCACTGAAGATAAATTAAGTCGTGCAAAGTGCCTTTCCCAAGGGCACAAGATCGGTGGCATGTGAGGATTCATTCATTCATTCATTCATTCATTCATTCATTCATTCATTCATTCATTCATTCATTCATTCATTCATTCATTCATTCATTCATTCATTCATTCATTCATTCATTCATTCATTCATTCATTCATTCATTCATTCACTCATTCACTCATTCACTCATTCATTCATTCATTCACCACCAGACCTACACGCTAGCAACGCAGGTTGAAAATGGTGAAATTAAAAAAAAAAAATGAGGAGAATAATTTGACAGTGAACTTTGGTGACACCGCGTCGTACCGTTTCTTTCGCCCGCGCAATTAGAAAATGTTAGCTTCCCGTGATCTCCAAGCAGGTCCCTTTCGGTGGCAAGACAGTATCCAGTAGCCAGAGAAGGTGGGGGTAGCGACCAAAAAAAAAAACACCGGCCATGTATAATAGTAGCTTTACCGCAGAATGACTCTCCTGGCCAATTCTTTACCCCATTTTTGCCGAATTTTATCTATCCATAGCCTTTAATAGGAAGGCCTGGTGGAGGCTATCACCCAAGTCTACCGTGGACAAGACGAAAGAATATACTAGTAGCCTATATCAGGCACCGCGGATCACTGGAAAAATAGTAGTGGATCGCAAAATGTACCGTGCTCCCTGGCCGACCAACTTCCCTGGTAAAGTATTCCCTTTTTTGTCCAATTTCTATTATTTTCTGTATCTGTATCAGTATAACCACCCTTCGGCGTAACACACCAGCCTCGCAGGCACGCGGCGCGGCGGCAGCTATCTATATCACACCGAACGACTTGTTACACTCAATCTTTGCACATTTAATTGCAGGAGTAGTTTAAAGCTTTCTAGGGATTTTCCTGGTAGAGACTACAGGAAACACGTTTCTAGTCATGTGGCTCGCCCAAAATATTTGCTTTTTAAAATCACATCACTTCAAAACAGGCCCTATTCCGTCACAAGTGACGTTATACAGCTAGCTGGCATGTAGTGATCAAACACAACGTTAATGTTATATGCAGAAGGACGTCAGGATGTCACTTGAACTGGCGTTCGGAAGTAATTTTAACAGTAGTAGAGTCTGAACACCTGAACAAAGACTTTAAAGATGGTACATACTGCTTTCTCTGCTTAGCACTCTGCATTTGGGAAGGAGTATGGGAGTTAAGCACACACCACTACCAGTGGACTAGTCCCCTGCTGTAGTGACTACTGTGTGTGGCCCAGAGCTAATGAACGGAGATGGGCGCCGCCCTATGCGTCACAAGACGCGGGAAGGCTATTTAACTTTAAGCCAACCTGGCTGAATTACGCCCGTTTAATGACTGGGCTCATCAGAAAACAGCCGAAGACCACCAAACCCCCAGTTGTATAAGCCTGCTACGGAGGCTAATCAGAAAACAGCCGAAGACCACCAAACCCCCAGTTCTATAAGCCTGCTACGCAGGCTAAGACGGAGTTTCGTTTATTTTGGTGGCTTGTTCTTCAGCAACACACAGTTTTCCACATCTATTTCGACACTAGCCATTTACGTTTGTGCCATTCATCGCTAGCCTCTACCAGGCTTCGGAAGGCGGCTGGAAAGAGTAGAAATTGGCCAAATAGAGAGATAACAGGCCGGGGGAGTTGGTATGCCATCTCTCTGTTAGGCCAATTTCTACTCTTTCCAGCCGCCTGCCGAAGCCTGGTAGAGGCTACTTCGTCGTATCTTTCTTGTAGGTTTAAGACCGATAACGTTAACAAACTCGGCGGCAACCGTTGAAGTGTCCTGCTTTAAAAATTTTACGGGTCCGATTGAGATTTATCATAGTCTTCTGCAGTTCTCTGACACGGAACTCTGGCGCCATCTTATTATTTATGAGCGATATAAACTTCTTAAGAGGTCAACGTCGTCTCAAGGAGGTTTAATACAGTAACAGTTACATGGAAAACTTGACATCGTTGTTTGTCCGAATGACGCGCTATGAAGATCAATAAAAGACTAGAGAAGTGCATAATGTTTACCTTCGGACATGGTCTGCCCTGTTAATTACCTTCGCCAAGAAGGTTATGTTTTCAGTAGCGTTTGTCCGTCTGTCTGTCTGTCTGTTTGTGAACAGCATAACTCAAGAAGCTTAGTATGCATTGTCATGAAACTTGGTAGGTGGGTAGGTCTTGATGAGACCTAGAAATGATTAGATTTTGGGCCCCCTGGCGGCTTCTGTTGGTACTGCAGCAGAACTTCCGGTTTTGATATCTCGCGATCTGGACATGCTAGGGTCACGAATTTTGGTTGGTAGATAGCTCATGAGGTAGGGAAGAAGTGACATGAGTTTGGGCCCCCTAGCGGCTTGTTCTGGAACTGCAGGAGCATTTGTTGAAAAATTTTCGAAGGATGATAACTAAGTAACCGGTTGACGGATTGACGTGATTTTTGGTATGTAGGTAGCTGAAGTGATGCTTGACATAATCAAATGATAATTATGCAAATCAGGAGCTAATTTGCATAATTAATGAGGAAATTCTAAAACTCTGCTTTGTTCGATTATAGGACTATGAAACACTTGTGACATGTAATTGAGAATGAAAAAATCTGAGGATATAGATTATGTAAATAAATACCTAATTTGCATAATTAATGGGAAATTTTTATAATTTCATGGTTGTAACTGCTGGGAATTTCATACTTGCCACATTTGGAAGTTAAGTGAAAGCGAACATCAATAAACATAATTTATTCAGATCATGACCTCATTTGCATAATTTATGAGGAAGTGCTACAATAGCCTTTTTGTTAAGATAAGACTGTCATTGGGTGGAGAATATGATCAACTGATATAACCCTTGCAAATGAGGATCTTATTTGCAAAATCAATTATTAAAATTGTATAATTCTTCAACCGCAAGGGTTAACATCATTTGGCGAAGGTATGAGATCGTGGAACTCTTGTTTTTACTCAAACACATTCACATACATGTACTACGAGTACTCGTATATGGCGATAGGAGCAGAGCAGACCATGAAATTGCAACATTATGTAACCCAACACCAGTCACCATGGTGACAGACGTCAACAAATCATCTCATTGGCCAGGTCAGATGTTAGTGTTTGGAACAGAAGAGGAAACTGAGCAAAAACAATATGTTTTCCTTCGGTAATAATAAGTTTCCGGGCCTACTAAAGCACATGAGAGACATGAATAAGTAAAGCACATACGATGTTACACATTTGTTTCTTTTAGATAACCGTGTAATGTAACTTCATGTAATTGTACGTTGATGTGTTGTAATGTTTTATGTACTTCACCCTCTCCTGGAAGAACAGCTGTCACCTACCAGTGGGCAGCTAAAGGAGAGTTTTTCCTCAATAAACCACAATAAACCCCTTTGGTATGTTAATAATACGTCTATTTGGCCAGTTTCTACTCTTTCCAGGAATTCCGGAGCCTGGTAAAACAAAATCCAGGAGTTAAAAACACTATTGTTGAACTTGGCGGGGTAGCGGATCTTGGGAAGCGGAACAAAGCTAACAAGGCTGGACTCCAAACCAAGCACTTAAAAGTAGTAACATTGCCGCTTTTTAAAAGCTGTTAATATTGCCGCTTTTACTACATGTAAGTGCGTGACTAGCCTCCTTTGCAAACTTGTTGTTTTTGCCATGGAGAGAAGTTTTCGCGCTCCAACCCCGGAGCGGGAAACCTCTCCACGGCAAAACTCCCTCGGCGGCAAACCACAAAAATCATTCATTCATTCGTTCGTTCGTTCGTTCGTTCGTTCGTTCATTCATTCATTCATTCATTCGTTCGTTCGTTCGTTCGTTCGTTCATTCATTCATTCATTCATTCATTCATTCATTCATTCATTCATTCATTCATTCATTCATTCATTCATTCATTCATTCACCATCCCTCCGCGGCATAACTCGCGTCGCTCTACGAAAAAATAATGGCGCCCCCCCCCCAACAAGTCTGCGAAGGAGGCTATTGCGTGACGGTGGTCGCCTGTGGCGCTTCTATAGTATTGACAGGGAACCAATATTAATGTTTACCGAAGGAAATTTGTTTTTACTACAATTCTTCTTCTTCTGTTCCTAACACTAACCTCTGACCTGGCCAATGGCCTGATTTGTGGATGTCTGTCACCATGGTAACTGGTGTTGGGTTACATAATGTTGCAATTTTATAGGAGGGATGTAGACTCCTGTCTGACCATATATACGAATGTATTTGAGTAAGAATAAACAGAGCAGACCATATGCGAAGGTAAACATCATGAATTGGCTTTGCAATTGTTACCTTTCTTGTTTTTTTTTTGTTTTTTTTTTCTTTTTTTTTTCTTTTTGGTACTGGTATCTTTTTACCAGTATCTCAGCCTTCGAGTGGCCTTCGAATGGTACTAGTAACTGCTTGGCAAATGGATACCTCGCCACCCAAAGATCTGCTTGGAGATTACCAACTCTCGCCGGCTCTCGCATGTTCGCCCGCGAGAGGCCGCGAGACTTGCTCCGCCCCGTTGCTAAGGAACGAGACGCTAGCTCGGGGACCGAACCATCAGCTGTGACATATCCTTCCGCCGTCATAAGAAAACTAACAAAATATATCAAAATGATAGCGTTTGTAACTACACCATTTCAAACAAGGCTGCGATAACTAAAAAGTACCTTTTTGTATATTTGGTCCTTAGCAATATTGCTCGAAATCGTGGAAATATGTCGTCTTGACCCGGTACTATTTTCTGTCCGACGGATCACAACAAAGCGCAAGGTCCCGGCCGGGGTTCTGGACTAGTGATCAAGTAACACAACAGGTGACACGAAGTTTGCAAGATTTCTGCAGGTTTTTGAAGAGAAAACATGGCTTCTAGGAGTGCAGGGACACTCATCACTACGCACAATGCCACCTACACCCCGCCAGCACTCATGCCAGGGTGAGTAGTGATTTATATATATTCTTAAATACTGTCAAACTTGTACTAGTGATCACCTCTTCATAAGGCCCACCTGGCCAATATTGTGACCACTTTTTGCTGGTCCCTCATAGTTTTTCTCATAGACACAATGCCATGCATTAACAGTCCTGTCTATAGTGACCACCTGTCCACGTAAACCAGATTTTATTTGTCCCTTGAGTTGCCTTTTTGGACAGTTTTGACTGTATGTCTACAATACAATAAAGTTAAACTTGCTTCTAATATCCTTAGACGTCGCTCCACACTAATACATTTAAGAAAGCTTCATTGTATTTGACCAACTTGTAAAAAGTAGGATCAGTTTTGATATACGAGTGTTTTCTACATTTTAAGAACAGGAAATTATATTTTTCATACTACTTAATTACAGTATTTGACAGGCATGACTTGTAATACTGACACGGAAGAGTGGCGCTGAATTGACACTGCAGGTAGCTTACAAAAGGATGACCGAGTATTGGGTCGTCAATTGTTTACTCTGTTTACCTTACAACAAAAACTAAGAAACAAAAGTACCAGAGAGAGAGGGGGAGATTTTGTAAACATAACAGGTTGAACAGCCTACAGTATAAATATAATTAAGAAAATCATAATGATGGTGTTCACACCATTGCAGCACCTACTCTTTGTGCTTTTTGATGTTTATATAACATTACAGTCAAATTCATAACGTTATAGTTAAGTACCAACTACCAGACCAATGTGACCATTTTTTTTGCAATTTTTTAACAGAAGCATTAAGAATATAGTAACCACCTGTTAACATAGACCAGATTTCATTGGTCCCTTTCACTCTTAACATACTCTAGTCTAGCACACACTAATTTTATTGCATACATGATATTTTACTGCACCTATGTAGTACATGTATTGGCTTACCAGCCTGCTGAAACTACAGGTACATCTAACACTATTTATCAATGGTTTGACAGCTATTTTTATGTTTACCGAAGGAAAACATAGTAGTAAAATTGTTTTTGCTTTGTTTCCTCTTCTTCCTCTCGAAACCAATAAGGTCAATGACCTGAATCAGATGTCTGTCACCATGGTAACTGGTGTTGGGTTACATCATGTTGCAATTTTATAGCAGGAATGTATTTGAATGTATTTGAGTAAGAATTAACAGAGCAGACTATATGCAAAGGTAAACAATGTCATTTATGTATTTGCTTTACAAATGTTACCCGTCTAGTGTAAGTGTTGTGTGTTGTTACGGAAAATTTGTATTACATACTGTCAATGGTCTGAAGCAGTACAATTCAGCCCTTGGGCAGCCAACATGCTTTAACCGGTTTTCCAAATGAGGAAAAGTATATAAACCAGTCTTCTACATGATTCCAGGTACAAGGGGCATTGTCCCACCATCATGTTCCGGTATGGGGACACCTACGGCAACACCACCAAGAAATGGTTCCAGGACTTCCGATCAGTCACCCTGAACAACAGCCAGACGCAGTACTCCAATGGTAAAGAAACAATCACAACATCTTATCATAAGGCCATGTTGATTTGATATGGATGACATCCGCACGTTCATGAATTTTCAACCATACAGCAAATCGTACAAAATGAGCGAATATATGTCGTATGTTGAAAAAAAAAGCATTGGAAAACGATACTAATGTCATAGAATGCCAAAATCAATTATTTTTCTGCACCCACAGAAAAAAAATGGGTGCACATCTCCAATTTGGGTGCATGTGCACCTTACATACACCCAGTACTTCCAGCCCTGCTGACTAGACAGATATAACCTAGACTCTGAAGGAAAAGACGTCATAAAAATTAATTATCCCCCCTCCTCCACAGGTGGTTCGTTTCCGACCTCGCTGTCCAATGACCCGGCCCTGGTGCTGGGGAACCGCTCGCGCTCACGGGACCGCTGGCTGGCCGCGCCGCGCGTACGCCTGTTCAACGTGCATCACGACGGCAAGGAGTGGTACAACAAGTTCGACAAGGTACTGTACATGTTTGTGCTCACCACTCACCAGTATGGTAGCCTCCACCAGGCCTTTCTACGGGAATACGGATCGTAGAATTTGGCAAAAAAGAGAATCAAATGGACCAAGGGAGTCCGGCCGCGGGGAGGTAGTTTCGTTCCCTCCGATATAGTCAAACCACAAGGCAGCCAAACTCCCCTGGCAAATATTCTCCTATATATAGCCAGCATAGTTAGTCTAGTAGAGACTACCAGTGTGGACTTACACTAGCTAGATCTCTGGTTCAGTTGTAAGAATTACAAATGTAGGAGAGTAGAAACAGAAAGACCCTGTTGGTCCCAGGCCGGGGTTCAAACCCACGACCAAACCCTAGCATTAGCTTCAACCCGACACTCCTTACCAGTTTAGCTAAGAGGTCTATATATAGCTAGACCCGTCACTGAGTCAGTTAGTGGTCAATTTAGTCTACCAGCAAACTTTTCCCCTCAAATGCAGGAATTAGAGTTTCAGAGGGTCAAGATAGCAAAATTTGAATCCCAGGATTATCATGACATGATGTTACATGAAACAAAGTTGAGATGACGGAAAAAAGTTTCAGACTGGCTAGAACACTGTATCCAGGTACAATATATTTAACCTCCTTGATTTAATTTAGTTACATAATACAGAATACATCAAGCAACTGAATAAATTCTTGAGACTGAAGAGTCAGAAGTTTCAGACAGCATCTGCTGATGTTTCATGTTCTCAGTCACTCATGCATCATGATGGAAAGGAATGGTGCAACAAGGTTGACAAGGTATGATGGTGATGTTCGTCCATTAAGCACAGAAAGTATGGACGTACTAGCTCCAGCTAGATCTCCGATATTTTTTAGGACAAGAAATAAGGGGTACAGCCACCACAACCTCAGTAACACACCATGTGATGTCAATTACGTTTAGACATCTAGGTAAAACATTACACACTTAATATAGAATACATCACGGTGTGTACCATATCAACCGAGGTCCCAGCCCGACCACGGGTCGGATCGCCCGAAGGGCAGAGGGAGATCCAACCCACGGGAGAGCTGGGACAGGCAGACTTGGACAAGTTGACTTTTAGTACTGTAAATTCACTTCATGTTCATGGTAGCAAAAGTTCACGGTCTGAGAAAGATGGAGGTGTTCGCAAAACTATAATTGTTCACAATAGTGTCAGGTCAAAAGGTCAGACACAGGAAATGGGTTGAACTTGAAGGATACAAAACACAAATGCAAGCCCAAAATTTCTGATATCTTGTGTTAATTTGTGACTTGAAGGATTTTTGTTGTTGTTGACAGGTGTCACAAGAGCACCGTGAATACTACAAGGACAAGACGGGGACATCGAAGCGCGTGACGTACTTCCATCTTCCAATGAAGGCAGAGGACACCTTCCGCAAACTACCTCCCATGTAAGCATGTCTACTGTTGGATTTTTTTTCTCTTTCATCATTAATTGCACAGTGTTCTAATTTGGACCCAAAGTATTGTTTCTTATTTGCTAAATGGTGCACTTTTCTTATCACTTGGTTAAATATTAACTAACAACCCTGTCATGAAAAAGGAACAGACTTTTGGTAGTCCAACTGAACTATAAACTATGGAAAGCCTACAGTTGCATGATTGTAATTGTGTACATTGCAGTTTGAATTTGGATCCTTAACTAAAGAAGTTTCTTGAGTGTAATATGCTAATGAATATTTATGAATTTAAGCAAAAAACATTAATAATTTTTACCGAATGTGTAACCTTAGATTACAAAGATCAATCTCATACCCTTTTCCTTTACTTCAGGGCTGTTCTTGCTCATAAACTGTATGATGCACTCTTCTGGTGTATTTTTATGGCTCCATATTGCTAACTTTAGTGCACTTATATCCACTGTTAAGAAATTAATGTAACCACCATTACCATATATCCATTGTGTTACATATATCTACCACTTTGAAAAAACTGTTAGAGAGATCTCTAATGCAGAATCCTGCAGACATGCACAGTTTAGATATGCAGGAGTGTATCATACTGGCTGATGTTGCATAATAATGGGGATCTCTTTAGATACTCTCCAAGCAGAGGTTAGGGTTTGGTTTATTTTTGGCGTGTTTTTAGACTTTTCTGAAATTTTCTTTCATCCAACATCCAACCCATCTTGGGTTGGGTAAAAGAAAAACTCTATTTGGGTTGGGTAAAAGAAAAATTCCAGTGCAAAAAAGAAACCCTGATTAAAAACTCTCAAAACATGCCAAAAATAACCCAAACCCAAACCTCTGCTTGGAGAGTACTCTTTAGATGCATTTTTTCAAGGTGGTGGATATAGAATATGTGACCTGGTGGAATTATGTTAGTAGACGTTTTCTTATTTAACATCTTGGCTACTGTAAGTTGGTGTGATCTTGATATTAACCACAGTGTGGTGTGCGTTTTCTCACGGTGTGTGTGTTTGGTCTCCCAAGTGGCATGGGGGCTCGTCCCGAGTCACGCACTTTCTCCCCGAGCAACTCGGTATCCTGGTAACTGGTTTCCATGGTAACATACAGGTAAGGTCGTTCCCTTGCAGCCTGCTCATCATCATCATCATCATCATCTTGCTGCAATGATCTTGACCAATCAGTGCATGGCTTTCTTAGCTTTAGGTTCCGATCATGTGCTGCTACAGTGATCTTGACCAATCAGAGCATGGCTTACATATAGCTTTAGTGTCCAATCATCATCATCATCATGCTGCAATTGACCAATCAGTGCATGGCTTACATGTATGTAGCTTGATAGTCCAATCATCATCCTGCAGTGATCTGACCAATCAGTGCATGGCTTACATGTATGTAGCTTTAGGTTCCAATCATTATCCTGCAGTGATCTGACCAATCAGTGCATGGCTTACATAGCTTTAGGTTCCGAACATGTGCTGCTGCAGTGATCTGACCAATCAGTGCATGGCTTACAAATTAGCTTTAGGTTCCAATCATGTAGTGATCTGACCAATCAGTGCATGGCTTATGTAGCTTAGTTATGCCTAATTTTGCACATAATCTCCATCCCATCTTAATTAAACCCATCAATGGTAGAAAACCATTCCATCTGCTGATTCATACTGAATACAATACATTAGCTACAACCTAACATCCAGTAGATTAGTAGTAGTTTTATGGGGTGGATCAATTCTTTAGCCTCCATAGCAAGCCAAAACCTGGGGGTCTTCATGGTCTTTGGGAGCTTTTATGTGCTTTTTTCTTATTCCATATAGACAACATAGCCGGCCTGGTTGAATTACCCGTTTTTTTAGTACTAGGGATGGGCTATTCAGAAAACAGCCGAAGACCACCAAACCCCCAGTTCTATAAGCCTGCTGTGGAGGCTACAATTCTTATGCTTCCCATGGCAATATACACCCTATTGAAAAATGAAAAAAAAAAGAAACTACAGCTTGACACCTTGAGTGGCAAGGTGGTGCTCATGAGAAAATTTTAGCAGACTTTGTGGCCCCTATCATGTTTTCCTTTGTATACATTCTACAACTTCAAAGTTCTAGAGCAACAGAAAGATAACACTGTTGGTACCTTGGTTGTGATGCCAAAAAGGGAACCGCTCCTAGCTACACATTCTAGAATAATATATATTCCTTACCTATTGAAATGTAAACTTTAAGTTAGGAAGTTAAGAAAAAAAGTCCTGGACATGATGATGCACATTATGCCAGAAAACATCAGAATGGTAAAAAAATGTATTTCAGTGAGCATTTTATAGGGGCAACATGTCACCGAGAGGTCCTAACTTTCACTCCGATCTTTCCAGCTTCTACACGGCAGGCGGGACCCGGAGCACGGACATCGACTTACCGGCGATAAAAACGGTCGGGTCGCGCAAGAAGGCCGAGCTCAGCCGCTTCGCCGACAAATCTTCGGTCAGGGATCGCGCCATGCGAGACGTATTCTTCGAGCGTAGATAGACAGGAAGCATCTATATTTAGGCCACACCAATTAATTTCTTGGTTAACGGATTTGCCCGCTTCATTTTTTTCTGATTTGCCAACAAAAATAAAAATTCAGAATCAACTGCAAAATGCTCATATTTTGCCCTGAACAGTTGAAAACAGTCCTTCTCTTCCTAGTTGTTACAGTTATTCCATCTTTCAATGCAGTGGTATCATTAAAAGTTCAAAATTCATTGAACCAGGCTGGTGTGTTGACTTCATGGCTCCTATCGTACCATTTTGGGCCATAATAGGATGCCTAGACCTTTTTTTTTCTCGCCCGCCTGCTCCATTGTTTTTCTACAAAGGTCCGTTAACCAAGAAATTAAATTGGTGTGGCCTTAGACCTAGGAAAAAAAAAACGTTGTGTTTCCTGTTTCTCAACCGACCCTAGGAAAACCTGCGGACCCTAGCCTTTTTTTTGTGAATCCCGGCAAGTACATACTTTTTTTTTTAGATTTAGAGCTGATCAACCTTTTTGAGCTCCATGATCTGACACCTGAAAAATGAAACATTGTACAATCGGTTTTCTAACATTGATATTGAAAATATAAGTGTCCACTGTGTCCTCATGCAAGTTTTACTTTCTTGAACTGTAAATTGTATGAGTTGGATCACTAGCCAAGGTAAAAAAAAAAGGAAGAAAAAAAAAAGATAATCCCTACCTACCGACCCTAATTTTTTCAGGACTGAAACAGGAAACACAACTTTTTTTTCCTAGGCCTTACACATGCCATATAAAAAATCCTTTTCATGCATGTATATCTACCATTACACAATAAAACATTTACTCATTGACAAACAACTAGATAAATTTTGATAACTGTTGGACCTTTCAAGAAGCATCTACTTCTTTTCATCAGTGACGAGGGAAATATACAATACAAGTAGATGCTACTTGAAATGTCTTGATAGTTTTCAAAATCTATCCAGCTGCTTGAATGTTTCTTTTGAAATGTGTAGGTTGATTGCATGCATCTGGGGTTTTCAATCACAATGAAACTGCTGCTCTTTTAATATTACACAATGTATATAACAAAATAACCATGATATTGGTAGCTTGTATTGAAAAACTGAGGTTGCGCACATATTCAGTATTATATCCACTGATCACAAAGCTACAAGTATATAACGGTTATGGTTCTACATGTATAACGTCTAATGCCTACGAGTGTAAACACATTGCTTGTCCAACTTTAAGAATATTGCAGATCATGAGAATATCATTTTAAGTGATTTGTTTTGCTGCTTTGAAAATGTGTCGTATGTGGATTGGATAGAAAAAAAGGAGTCTTCCTTCAATGTAAACTTTGCTTCACTCTGCTTGTAATAGAAAATGATACAGATTAACAACAATTATAATGTTTGGTTGCATTTGTCTTTTGTCTATTTTTTTAACAATAAATTTTTTGTTTTGTTTTTTCATATAACTTATTAATAACAAAAACACTTGGCCTTTCCTCTCTGCAACTTAATGGCCTATTTATGTCTTGCAGGAGGGGAATTGTAGTATGTTAATTTTCTTCTTCAATGCATCATGCATGGAAAATCAAAATCAGCAAGGTGACAGACTTTTAGGAAAGTTTATAATCTATCATAAGTCTATAAATTCAATGCCTTTCCCTGGATTTTTCAACAAATGGTGGAAATTACTTTTTGTTTTATTGTTTTGTTGTTTACAAAGATCATCAGACTGTGCATACTCAAACGTTGAGTGGCATGGTTGTCAAAAGTACAGAACAGGCTTCGGAAGGTACAGGCCTTCATATACCCAGCCTGAGCTGGGTGGCGTTCCACCCGCCGAATATTATGGAATACCTTCTATAGTACAGTTTTGTATTAAAAACATCAACTTTAATTTGTTCTGAATGACAAACTGTATTTGGGCTGAGGACACATTTAGAAAGAAAGCTTGGTAAATTCTCTAGAGCATTCATTACCAAGGAAGTGGATTCTTTCTGCTCCCGGTTGAAGTGTGAAACTCACTCCGTGGCTTTATTCGGTGGTTATAGCAACTGACAAGGCTTCATCTCACCATATTCACCTGGGGGCAGGTCATTAACCCTTAAATCTATTAATGCTGTACGTATGATACTGAACAGAAATTGCAGATTGTACCATTGTGGCAGATTGTACTCCGATCGGGACCTCTACCAGCAGAATTGCTGATTCTACCAGATCTACCAGAGTCTATACCATAACATATAACGTTATTCTTTTGAGGCTAGGCCAGGACTTAATTAGTGGGTTTCATGTACGTGAAAGGAACAGAACAAGTTTCCCTGAAAAAAGGATTTTATTGCACAACAATTGTAGCAGGTACAATGTGTGGCAAGTTCTTGAATCAAGCTTACAAATTGCACAGGTATATATTTTAGTCATCTTCATTGCACAACAATTGTAACAGGTACAATGTATGGCAAACTCTTCAGTACTACATATCTAGCTAACATCTACTCTCACGTCTACTACTAACTCTCTGAAATGGGAGGGAAAACATATTACAGACCTCCCTAACATCACAAATTGCCTAAATCAGTTCTTTGTAACTATTGGCAACAAACTGGCAGTGAAGTTCAGAAAACAAGCTGACCCCAAGTGCCCTACTAGATATAAAAATCTGAAAGCTACCTTTCAGTTTAAGCAAATAAGTGAAGTGGCAGTATATGATAAACTAAAAGCACTGCAACAAAATAAAGCAACTGGTCTGGACAAGATACATGCTAGGCTCCTGAAGGTAGCAGCACCCAGTATATGTAAGCCACTAACACACATATTCAATTTGTCTCTCTCAACTGGTCACATTCCCGGAGACTGGAAGACAGCAAGGGTCACTCCAATACACAAAGGGGGGGACACAGAAGACCCAAATTACAGACCCATATCTGTTCTACCTATCATCATGAAGTCTTTTGAAAGAGAGGTACACACACAATTCCTCAAATACCTTCATGAACACAATATCCTCTCCACCCAGCAGTCAGGTTTCAGGCCAGGACACTCTACAGCAACAACCCTACTAGATGCTAAGGATCACGTACTTCATAACATGGACAAGGGTAACCTCGTGGGGGCAGTATTCCTGGATCTAAAAAAGGCTTTCGACACAGTACACCACAGACTATTGCTAATGAAACTGTCATGGATAGGAATACAGGGTAAGGAGCTTCACTGGTTCTCAAACTACCTGTCAGACAGACAACAAATTGTTTCTCTGAATGGTATTCAATCAGATTACTTACCTGTTACACTGGGAGTGCCACAGGGTTCCATATTGGGCCCTCTACTTTTCAATATATTCATAAATGACTTGCCTGAAGCTGTCACCACATGTAAGGTATGCCTATATGCGGACGACACAGCAATATTTTGTGCCAATAAGAATGCTAAACACATCGAGTCGACACTGAACGCTGAACTCACTGGTCTGGCCACCTGGTTCCAAACAAACCGCTTAACATTAAACATATCTAAGACTAAATGGATGCTTTTTGGTACGGCAAATAGGTTAAAACATACACCAACACTGGAACTCCAAATAGACCAGGAGATCATTGAACAGGTACTAACGTTTAAATACCTGGGTGTCAACCTCGACTGCCACTTAAACTTTAACGAACATGTGGATAAAATGTGCAGTAAAGTATCTCAGAGAATTGGACTACTTGGTAGACTTAGACCCTGCCTCACTATCAATATTGCTGACAAGTTATATAAAACAATGATTCTGCCTATACTCGACTACTGCGACATAGTGTGGGGGAGCTGTGGGGCCACTAAACTACAACAACTACAGAACAGAGCAGCTCGAGTGGTGCTTCAACGCAGACTACGTGACTGCAGCACTGAGAGCCTCCACCAGACACTGAACTGGAAGTACCTGGTCAATAGAAGATTTGAACACACTTGTGTGATGGTATTTAAATGTTTGAATGGCCTGACTCCAACTTACCTATCTTCTACTTTCTGCCATAATTACCATCTTCATACTTATAACACAAGACAGACTACTAAGCTACATTTACCTAATTACACTAGCACAGCAGGTCAGCGAACATTTGCTTACACAGGTACAAGTTCTTTCAACAAACTGCCGGCAGACATAAGACAGATCCCAACCCTGAAACGCTTCAAGGCAGCTGTTAAACAGACCTCTGACCTCCACTGATTCAATGATTTGTATATTTTTGTTCAGTTGTTTATATGTTTATATATGTTAACTTTTCAGTTATACTGATTTTCAGTTATACTGATTTCTGTTAACTTTTGTTACTTGATTGTATAATTTACTTTTATACAATTTGCTTTATGTTATGTTATATTTGTTTGTGACCCTGGGCCCTCTTGAAAATCAGCAATATTATGCTGTAGAGGCTACCCAGGTGTTTACAAGATGAAATAAATAAATAAATAAATAAATAAATGCTTACAAGTTCTATGTATCGAAAATAACATTATACTATTTCAAAAGGTAATACAGTTCATGTATATATATATGGAACATGGCTTACATGATAATGTACATGTCTTGAGTTCTATATATGACTGTATACTATAATATTTGCAATTTCAAAATACTCCTAGTATATACCAATTACTATAACAGGAAAATTTGCATTGGTCACATGATGTACACATAATCTTCTGTCTGTTACAGTAAACAATTTCTTTCTTACCATTATTATTATTATTACTTTATTTTATTGTTTCCTTTTATGTGTGAGGAGAGGGCCAAGATAAGTTTTATAACTTTTTGCCCAATCCTCGAAAAATAAATGTGAATAAAATAAATAAAATAAACAATTTCGCATAACCGGTAAACCGGTAAACCGCCTTTAGGCGTAACACACGTGTTCCGTATCTTTCCCCTCGATCAGAAGTGGATCACTTCACTGTCTTTGAAGATGAGGCTTTTCCGCAAAGTGCTGTGGATGGACGAGATCCACCCGAACTTGTCGTCGTTGATCTCATTCATTTTGTCGCACACCATGGCCATGATGGCGAACAGGTCGTGAGTCGGGCCGAATTCTTTCAGCAGCTTCGCCAGATGTTTGACGTAGGGAGCCCCGTCCTCGTCCCGCCTGGCCACATAGCCCGGCACCGTGGCCAGACCCAGGAAGAAGTCGGCTTCGATGCAGATGAAGGGGACAGGTTTGACATCATGCTCATTGTCAAACCTCTCCGTACGTAGAATTTTCTCCCCTTGACAAGCCTGGATAAAGAACAGCTTTGGCTTCCCTTTGAGAGACGGACATTTCTTAGCATTGACGGGCTTCATGAGCTCACAGATATCTATGCCTACGTCATCGGAGGAGAAGACCTTTCCCATGGTGCCGTGCGACATGATGCAGCAGACGAAGCAGTCGTGGTTGGAGTGGTCGGCCTTGCCCTGGTCCTTCATGGTGGCCACCATCTTGGCGTGGTCAAGGTCGATGAAGGTCCGGGCGGTGAAGCCAAGGCTTTCAAAAGCTTCTCGAAGGCGATCTGTATTGAAGGCAGATGTTGTATCAATATTTCTATCCATAAATCTATAAAACATCAAATCATTCACCATCCATCCATCCCTCCACCCACCCCTTCATCCATGCATCCATCCACCCATCCATGCACGCATCCATCCATGATTCCATCCATCCATCCATCCACCCACCCATCGACCCATCCACCCACCCACACAAACACCCACCCACCCACCCATCCATCCATCCATCCATCCATCCATGCATCCATCCATCCATCCATCCATCCACCCATCCATCCACCCATCCACACATCCACACATCCATCCATCCTCACCTGTGTCTCTCTCGGCCCCTTCCCGTTCTTCCATGTCTTCAAACCGGATGTTGTTGATGATGACGGCCACCCCGCGGGTGTCAGAGCTCATCTCGTAAGCACTGCTCTGGTTGAGAGCCTTCTTCAGCTGTTTGATCTCATTCTTCTGCTGACAATTTTCTTTTTCCATCTTCTGAAGCTTTATTTCTAATCTCTTCTGCCTTTTGAGTCCAGTCTGTCGGATTTTCTCTTCAATCCCTGCACACTGGGGTTTTTGTTCTTTGCTCCAGAGGCTCCGATTGGTAGCTTGTTGAAGAGGCTGAGAGAGCTGTCTCCGTGAGGTTGTCATGTTCGGCGTTGGACAAAATAGGCAATCTATTTTTCTTACTCGCAGCCCTGTCTCTTCCAACAGTCGATCCCGGGTGGCAAGAATCTTGGCAGCCCCTACATGAACGATATTTTGAAAGAATGAAGACTAACAACAGTGCAACAAACGTCATGTTACTTCCCATATTTTCATATGGTGCCAATTACTTTTACGTACAGTTGACTACATGTATATATCTGTAGAAACAAACAGACAGAATAAATCTATTTCAGTAATAAAAGAAGTCCCTTGTCAGCTTCATTTGACATTTTGTTTGTTTCCCATAACTGGTAAACCGCCTTCAGGCGTAACACACCAGTTTTGTACATGTGCGCACATGTACAAGCTGCGTAAGACCGGACTGTAAGGTTTTGAACCACTCACACCGGGATGGTCCCCTACTCTTTTCGATAAGTGCAGTGGGTTCTTTAACGTGCATGGGGTGTGGCTCTCCCCAAACACGGGACCTCCATTTAACATCCTATCCGAGGGACGTCCCTAACCGAAGCTAGGTACTCATTTCCACCTGAGTGAAGTGAGGAAAGTCGTGTAAAGTGCCTTTCCCAAGGGCACAAGATCGGTGACTTGGGCAGGGTTCAAACCCGCGACCTCTGGGGGGTGAGCCGAACGTGCTACCGACTGCGCCACACGACCCCACAATGAGGTAAATTCGAGAAACATATATATGTAATTGATGAAATTCAAGTTCTGCCCAGAAGAAATACAGGTAGGCATGCAAGGGGAAGCAGAACAATTGTAAAGTTGGTAATAGACCTGTTATAGTACTATTATTAGTAGCATTAGTGTTCTGTAAGTTGTACAGTTGATAGTATATGTGTGCACTTACCCTCTGGTGTTGGGAGCTCCATCAGAACAGTTCTTATTTCCCGAATCACGACCAGTTGTATGTATTCATGACCAAACCAAGAAGGAAGATCGTAGCTGTTTGCATGCTGTGGAAATCCACTCACAACAATGCAGGCATCTGGATCCATATCCACGTTTCCTTGTGACCGCTGGGATCTGCCTGGGGTAGGAAACAAGACAACATTTTCACTAGTGGTAACGTCAGATGGTACGAAACAATTATTATCAAGTCACTTATTTCTACTTTTGTGGGTTTTCTTTAGAGATTCCCTGGCTTTGTCAAAATTTACTTCAATTTGTTCTATAAGTATACCATGAAATATGTTACCCGTCTGGTCACATGCCTCCTGCTCACTGCTTGGATGATATAAGGATAACTTTACCTGACTGTCGATGTTGTGGTCCAAGGAATTCCGTAAGTTTTTCAAGGAATTCCGTAAGTTTTTCAAGGAATTCCAGTAGGGTAAACCCAACTTCCTCTCTTGTCAAGGTTGCCATGTTTCCCTCATGAGGAAACATGTCTAACAGCCCTGTAACTTGCAGCAGTGTCTCCTTTGCCAGCACGGTGGTGGCGTCTGCATGAACAATATCGAATTTCAATATCGGATTAAAAAAAACAGTATAAATTTCCTAAATCATGTATTCGTGACAGAGGGATAGCAGTTACAGGATAATGCTCACGTGACCTTTGTACTGCAGTAGACAATGCCCCCCCCCCACATTTGTGACATTGGTAATTGAGAACGAAACACAGGCAGATATTGATTATGTGACCTAATTTGCATAATAAATGAGAAAATTGTATAATTATGTAATGATAACTGCCTAGAATTTCATACTTCTGGTATTTGAAAGTTCAGTGAAGGTGAACATCATTAAACATAATGTATTCAAATCAGGACCTCATTTTCATAACTTATAAGGAAATGTTAGAATGGCATTGTTAATATAAGACTGTCTTTTGGTCGAGAATATGATAAACTGATATAATTCATGATAAGGAGGATAGTATTTGTTATATCAGGGGGGAATAATCTATAATTTGACAGTCATAAAGATTAACATCATTTCGGAAGGCATGAGATCGGGGAACTCTAGTTAAATCTGTCATTGTTGAGAAACATGCAATTCAGCCTATGGCTGCCATGTGTTTTTGACAAATAAACCTTTCATTCATTCATTCATTCATTCATACATGCACACACCTTCTGGATTCTGGAACTCTATCAGCACTCTTTCTGAAAGCGTGACCATTCGTCGTATCCCGGAGTTACCGTGTGCAGTCCCAAAATATTTCTTCACCTCCTGGCTGGTCACACGCTTGGAGAGCCCGCTCACACCAACACAGGCTCTGGCGTTCATAGAGGGGATATCCATCTTGTTTTGTGACAACCTGAGGCTGAAGGCACCTGAAACAAAATACAAGCTGGCCTGAGCTAGTTGACTGCAAACAATGCAACACTAAGACCCCATTCATACCAGACTTTTATTTAGCGGTTTCAACCGGTTTTTATTCAGAATAAAAACCGGTTGAAACCGATAAATAAACTAGTATGAACACAAATCAACCGTTTTTTTGGCAATGGGGGTTTAAATACGACTTTCAAACCACCTCGCGAGGTGGTTTGGTAGTTTTTTTAATAGTTTTTTTGCCAAAAAACCTAGTCTGAATGGGGTCTACATCATAATTCTAGGTTCACGGGGTCAGCATCCAGGCTGTGTGAGACCTCCAAGCTTTTGATTGCATTCTTTTCAGTTCTTTTCCACTACTCATAATAAGTCATATATGCAAACATTTGCATACGTGCGTACATTACTAGTAATGTTACATCGTACTACAACTTCTTGTAAACCCTTGTATAGTGTGGGTTTTGACGTATTTTACCAATCAAAACAAAAAACAAAACTCCCACTGAAGGGAAACTATCCTGTATGTAACATTTCAGATCCCAGTCCGTAGTATGTTTTCAATCGAAATATTTGTGTATATGCGCCATGTGCCTGCATTTTAGCCGTATGCTTCCTCAGGAATAGTGAACTTCATCGACACAACAAAAGTACTGACTTTCGTAAGGTCTTTACTACATGTAGTCACATACCAAGGACATTATACACCTTGCACATACAAATACAAAGGTACAACGAAATCAACAGGTACCGTACATACAAGACAATAGAAGATTAGATTAGATTAGATTGTTCTTTAAATGTTGCATTGTTACATTGTTCTATCTCATTCTGTAAACTTCAGGAGAAGTTTTATTTTTCCGTAGGGGGGAAGAGTGTAAGACCACAAAGATACCCCCCCTAGTAGAATAGGACAGTCCAGTGACCTACAGAGGTCACCTAGGGAACCAGTTGAAACTGGACGAGTTATCCACATGTTCTACCATGGAGGTAGAAAAAAGGAACTTTTTTACCTCCATGGAGGTAGAAAAAAGGAACTTTTTTACCTCCATGGAGGTAGAAAAAAGGAACTTTTTTACCTCCATGGTTCTACTGAAGAATACATACAGATCTACAGTACTCCACTCGTCTCTTCTGTTCATTCCATAAACCCTGGGATTGGATTGTTACATTAGGTCTTTTCAACATATTTATAGTTCAGAAAGATTGGCAACTTTGTTAATCTTGCTACCAACGTGCAAACAGTAGCCTGTTTTCAAAGAAATTCACACTGAGGGGGTGGGGGGTTGTGAATCTCCGTTTCCTGAGTATTCCCTCTTCCATACATGCTGTAACTTTCCCATTGTCTTCACCCAGCCTCTCTTCTCCATTTCTCTACACAAGTTTAGCTTGAAAACTGTCCCGAATGATATTTAAACTGACAAACATACAGAGAGAAACTTGCCTGTTCTGGACTGGCTTCTGGATTCAACTGGTCTCTCAGTACAATGCACCAATCACCGATTTGGTGAAGATCATGTGATATTCTCATTATTTCCAGGAGGCCGAGCTGAACTTGTTTTACCAGTGTGTCATGGCCGCCATGTTGGATCGCCCATCGTTGGGCCTGCATGGGGAATCTCTGGACACCTTTTGGGGGCACACCCCAGTTTATTTGGGGCCTCTATTCGAAGCTGCAGACCCTCAAATCTAGCGACCGTCTCTGGCGTGGAATAATTCGGAAGGAGAATAACTGTATATGGGACGAAAGGGTATCTCTTCAGCTACAAGACAAGCTGAGTTTGGTTTCTTCAACCTTTTTAAGTTTGGTAAAATCAACGGAAAAAACATTATTTTCACTCCAAAATTAATGCCCAAAATTGCGAATTTTCGCGTAGGATAATCCCACAAAAAAAAATTTTCCCGAAGAAATGACTGATACTGGCAGAAAGACCCAAGCCTTGACTATACCCGAGTAAATTATAAAGAAAATTCTAGTACTGTAATTTTCTAAACAGTCCACGGCGCGAGGGGTTGCAAATCCACCCCTACGAAGCCGCAGAGCGAAAACTAGGTCAAACGGGAGGATTACACTTGGCGCGCAAGGATACCCGGAAGTAAGGTTCGGAGCCAAAAGAAATTTTCACCCCAAAATCACCATTTCTTACACTCTTCAGCCATGTTAATGTTTAATGATACTTCGTGGCAGTTTATAAGAAATGTCACCTCAAACTTGGACCCTCAAAACCCTTTCGTCACTTTTTTACAACGGACTATCGTGGACCCCTGTCGCGGAAGAACTGGGGTGTGCACCGTTAATTGAGCCAAATTTTAATTAACATTGTTTTTTAATTAACTATGTCATAGTCTATGAATCGTGCCAAGTTTGAGTTTTCTGCGACTTTTCCTTCCCGAGTAACAGGTGGTTGAAAGTTACCCTGTCGGGAGGCTCATTTTGCGCTTCCACGGGTGTGTTCCATTCACGCACATAATGGGAATTACGTCACAATGGTCCGTTCCTTTGGAACGGGCTTTAGCGCATTAAACCATGCTAAATAAACAGATTTTGCCATGTAAAGGAATGCTAGAGGGCTGTTCTTGCGATGGAGTAGGTTTTCCTTCTAGTTCTGACTGAAATAAACGGTATAAACCACCCAGAATGTAGTTTAGCTGATGACGTCACAATGCCCTCCGCTAGCCGAACTTTTTAAGTGAGATCGCTATGGTTTTAAGTTCTGTACGTTGACAGGAAGCAGTTGATATTGAAATTTTTGGTCATACCCGGTAGAGAACAAGCCAAGGGATCTTACCCAAGTGTTTCCGCTGCGGAGATTCATTTTGTTTTGCAGGAAAACGAAGCTTAATGTTGTATATTTGGTTAGATTGTAGGTCTGTGGCGTCCTTCTAGCAGCTAGGACGGTATAAATGGCCATCTGCTGAGAGAAGCCTGTACAGTTTGGTGTCGGTCTCGATGAGATATAAAAGCAGGAGGATGTATCTTCCGATTATTGCAACTTATTTGTCTGAAAGTTGAAATCTCGTGATAGGCCGAACTTGAAACTAGATTTGACAGGAAAGTAGGGGAATGACGTCATCATGGCCTTTTTTTAATTAAAAACGTCTCCTCCTTAATGCTGGAGCGCCTGGCACACGTACATACGCAGTTTCCAGGTGCCCCAGGGGTAGGGCAATGCAAATAATAAAATCGCGGTAGATATGACGTCATCGATCTTTAGTAGACACACTTCGAAGTCGGTTTGACCGTGTTCAAGGGGGGGGGGCGTGGGGAGGGGGGCAAATCAGCGCATTATATGACATTCTATAATCATATTAAAACTTGCGAAATCCAAATTTTTTTCGCCATGATTGGGTAAAGGATATACACTTTACTGGATGAAATGCAATTTGTTGGCTGCCATAGCTAATATTTTTTGAAGGACGGACCTGTTTTAAGGGGGCACACCCCAGTTTATTTGGGGCCTCTATTCGAAGCTGCAGACCCTCAAAATCTAGCGACCGTCTCTGGCGTGGAATAATTCGGAAGGAGAATAACTGTATATGGGACGAAAGGGTATCTCTTCAGCTACAAGACAAGCTGAGTTTGGTTTCTTCAACCTTTTTAAGTTTGGTAAAATCAACGGAAAAAACATTATTTTCACTCCAAAATTAATGCCCAAAATTGCGAATTTTCGCGTAGGATAATCCCACAAAAAAAAATTTTCCGGAAGAAATGACTGATACTGGCAGAAAGACCCAAGCCTTGACTATACCCGAGTAAATTATAAAGAAAATTCTAGTACTGTAATTTTCTAAACAGTCCACGGCGCGAGGGGTTGCAAATCCACCCCTACGAAGCCGCAGAGCGAAAACTAGGTCAAACGGGCGGATTACACTTGGCGCGCAAGGATACCCGGAAGTAAGGTTCGGAGCCAAAAGAAATTTTCACCCCAAAATCACCATTTCTTACACTCTTCAGCCATGTTAATGTTTAATGATACTTCGTGGCAGTTTATAAGAAATGTCACCTCAAACTTGGACCCTCAAAACCCTTTCGTCACTTTTTTACAACGGACTATCGTGGACCCCTGTCGCGGAAGAACTGGGGTGTGCACCGTTTTGCTTTACACAGGTAACAGAACGCAAGGATGTTGGTTTATAAATCATGATAGTAAAGCACAAATACTATCATAACCAACTCATAATAGCTATATACAGAG